CACAAAGGTGACATACGGAAAATACGCCACTCGGGTCCTGGATGAAGCGGCGTATGGAATCTACGAGTAGTTTAGTTCCCAGTAAAACACTCTTCTCCATATAATAAACATGCATATTTGCTCTGACTTAGCGGGCCTTATGCATAGGCCCACAAAAACTTAGCTGGAGAAACGGGGAGGGAAAGGGGGAAAGACAAGTTTTGTTTTGAACACGCATATAAAAATTTTGCCTTAACTGTCAGTACCTCTATACTAAGAAATAACTGGTTAGTTTCGTTTGGGAGTAAACTGCGTTTTAACAAGGAAAAATGAAATAGCTGATAATTGTGGAAGGCCACTTTGCGCAATATTACAGATAATAGACAACAGATGGAAAAGCCGCTTGAGAAGTTTCACATAATCAAGACAAGCTAAAAGTATCGCATGCAATATTGAAGATAGAGTACACGCCGAGGTTGAGTCCTTGAGTGTTGTTTAGACAGTTGACGCAAAAATGTGTCGCACGATGTTGTAGATAGTAAAAACACGTTACTTTTATGTTACCTTTATTACACAGGATGTAGCAGATAGCTGAGACAAGTCGTAATTGTTGCGCGCGTTTAAATTGTTTTGCGCAATGTTGAAGATATCTGTTCTCCAAGCCGCAGCAACATGCAAACTGTATCACATTTATCAGCGTGGATAGTGAAATGCTATCACGTGAGAAGTCAATCTTTGAAAACTACGACTGCAGGGACCACTGCCAGAAAAAAAAAAAACAGCCGTGTAGGTAAAAACCATGTATCAAAGCGACTTAAATTAACGTGAATTTCAAAAATTCGCCTTAATTTCATGAAGCGTTGATGTCCTATATTAAGGTATCCACTTTATTTTAAATTTGGACAGTTGACAAAAATTAATTAAAAAAATACATCTGTTGGCAATATTGGATTTTGATACAGATATAATGAGTCATTGAATCGGCTTACGCGCCGTCTACAAACGTACCATTCGTAAAAAATCTAACGAGCAAACGAGAGAGTAACTCAGATGCTAGACAAAGAAAGATGTATTAAAGAACAGACTTATTTCGAACTATTTTATGCTAGTTGCATGTAGTTCACCAGTTTAGTTCTTCAAAATTATCTTTCCGATGTGAAATTTCGTGCAAAGTTTGAAGTTGCACTACAAAAACAATTTCTGTCAGTCGTTGCGAGCCACTCGAAATCAGACTTTTCTACAGTAAATTGAGCAGCAGATAGCGAGGAAATTCGTTAACTGTATTCCACGGAAATTCTCTCAAATACAGCAACGATCAGAGAGGTAAACTCGACTGAAACTGACATATCTTTTACTTAAAACTTAAAGTGAAAGACACACAGGATTACGCGCCATTATTATAGACAGGTTAACCATGACGTTTACATCAAACGGCAAACGGTAAAAATGAAACTTTTTCCGTCTGTCTTCAGCTGTCTGTACTTTAGAGTGAAAATATTTGTATCTGCGGTGAATAGTACGAGACATTTTTCTATGGTTGTGAGATTTATTTAAGGATTAGAACAAAAGAATAAAAAATCAGAGGTAATATTTGCCGTTTGCCGTCTGCTGTAAACGTCATGCTTAAACTCTCTAAAATCTCTCAGTTAGTACGCGCGCTGTGATTGGTCAATTTAGCGGGCCGTATTCTACTGTTCGGCCCGCTAAAATTTAAAGCCGATATTGTTGCCAAAATGTTTCGTGATTTATCGCCAAGTTTTCTTAACTTTTTCAGCAAGTAAAGGTTTCAAACTCTCTTTGGCTTCTGAAATTGTATACTAAAACCTGCTAACGACGTAAGAGTCGCTTAACAACGATTTCAAATTGACTCGTTTTGCGTACGTCATAAATTTGAAGTCATTTCCCGGGAGTCCAAATCGTTCCTGAACCCGTCGGACACACGGTAGAGATATGATAAATATCTTACTAACCTCGTTTTCTTGGTCCGTACTGTAAGTTACGGAACCTTGTTTTTCCCCTTCGATTTATGGCCCGCGCACTTCGCGCTTAGGCCATAAATCGATGAGGAAAAAACTCGGTCCGTAGCCTACAGTATGGCCCACGAACACGGTTAGTAAGATATATTTACAGCGCAAAACAACAAGTAGGCGAACAAACTCTCACAACTTCAAAAAACTAAATTGAATTTACTTAGAGTTACTTTCCTTGCCATTTAAAAGTAAATACAGATAAACTTGCGTTGATTAATCGTCTATAGAAGTGTAAAAAGGGCGAAAGATTGACGGTTACCGCTAATTCGTTCACAAAAATAGATCAACACAACGGATTTCACCGGCTGTGGCGGTCCGGATGAAAAAATTCCGCCCACTCCACTGAACCAATTAGATTGCAGGATTTGTTGAATTCCGCCTACTCACGAGCTGAGAAAGAGATAAAAGGAATTATGTACTGACATATTTGGACGTTGAAGTTATCTTTATCCTTTGTTTAGAGCTTAAGGACGGTGTCTACTTTTGTTAGTGCGCACACGTTCTCCGCATCACGCAAGGCATGGTTTCAGCTCAGGGCTTAAAAAGACTGAAAGCATGACTATTCAGGCATTTTACGGAAGCTTAGAGTGGATACCCTTTCTTAAAAAGCATTTTCACATTAAACTTACTTCAAACGAAAGAAAACAGGATAGCACAGGAAAAAATTTCTATTCAGGTTGAAAGGAAAAAGAAAAAAAGAGAACAAGCGGAGTCCCCCGACGGGCGTCGAGCGTATATATACCCTTCCGACCGCACAGCAGGTCAGATGCGTATCCCATTGGGCTACCGGGGGACTCCTTGACAAGATCACAAAATTTAATAGCTAAATACGTCAAACAACAATATAGGTCTTACTGGCAAACTCATTTTACTTTAACCAATATGGATTAACAAATATTTTCAGATCTGAAACAGATTGGCGTCTCGATAACTTATAGCTACTCTAAGGATTTCCGTTCTTCTAACAATAGGAACTCGCCGTCTCAGCAAACCTTTCACAGCTGCCAAAGCTTAGGCCAAAGCTTAGTTCTCTGCCACATTAAGTCCGATAAAACTCAAATAAAACCCTCATGAAATCACCTTCTTAAAACGCTTGGTGTTCCATTGCCTCTCGTACCTTCATATTGGTTAGTAGGTCATTTTTAGGGCTCAAGACAGAACGCATGCGTCACACTTAAGAAAATGCGGCACACTTAAAGAAATACGCCACACTTGGAAAATTGCGCCACACTTAAGAAATTGCGGCACATTTGGAAACTTGCGCCACACTTAAAAAAATGTGGCACACTTGAATTACTGCCCCACACCTAAGAAAATGCGCCACAGTTAAGAAAATGCGGCACCTTTGGAAAAATGTGCCACACTTAAGAAAATGTGGCACACTTCAAAAAATGCGCCACACTTAAGAACAGATGGCACACTTGGAAAAAAGCGCCACACTTAACAAAATGTGGCGCACTTGAAAAAATGCCCCACACTCAAAAAAAGCACCACACTTGAAAAAATGTGCCACACTTAAGAAAATACGGCACGCTTGATAAAATCAACCACACTTAAGAAAATGCAGCACACCTGGTAAAATGGGCCACACTTAAGAAAATACGGCACAATTTGAAAAATGCGCCACACTTAAGAAAATGCAGCACAATTGGAAAAATGCGGCACACTTAAAAAAATGCGGCACACTTGGAAAAATGCGTCACACTTGGATAAATGCGCCATACTTAACAAAAAATCCGGCACACTTAGGAAAAATTCGTAACATTTATAAAAATGCGGCACATTTGTAAAAATGCGCCACAATTAAAAAACATGCGGCAGAGTTGGAAACATGCGACACACTTACAAAAATGCGCCACACTGGAAAAAAAGGGCAACACTTGGAAAAATGGGTCACACTCTCATAAATGCGGCACACTTAAGAAAATGCGGCACACTTAGAAAAATGCGCCACACTTAAGAAAATACGGCACACTTGAAAAAATGCGCCACACTTAAGAAAGTGGGGCGTTCTTGGAAAAATGCTTCACAGTTGAGAAAATGGCGCACACTTGGAAAAATGCGCTACAATTAAGAAAATGCGGCACATTTCAAAAAATGCGCCACACTTAAGAAAATGCGCCATACTGGGAAAAATACTCCACACTTAAGAAAATGCGGCGCACTTCGAAAAATGCGCCACACGCGGATAAATGCGCCTCACTTGCAAAAACGGGGCACACTCTTATAAATACGCCATCCTTAAGAAAATGCACCACTTAAACTTAAAAAAATATGCCACACTTAAAAAATGCGGTACACTTGTTAAAATGCGCCACACTTAAGTAAATGCTGCACACTTGGAAAAATGCGCCACACTTAAGAAAATGAGCCACACTCAGGAAAATGCAGCACAATTTTAAAAATGCGTCACACTTGAGAAGTTGCGGCATACTTGAAAAAATGCGCAACACTTAGGAAAATACAGAACACCTGGAAAAATGCGTCATACTTAAGAAAATGCGGCACACTTGGAAAAATGCGCCACACTGAGATAAATGCGCCATACTTAAAAAATTCGGCACACTTGAAAAAATGCGCCACACTTAAAAAAAATGTGGCACAGTTGGTTAAATGCGCCTCACTTAAGAAAATGCGGCACACTTTCAAAAATTCGCCACACTTAAGAAAATTCGGCACACTTGGAAAAATTCGCCACATTTAAGAAAATTCGGTACACTTGGAAATATGCGCCTCACTTAAGAAAATGCGTCACACTTGGAAAAATTCGCCACATTTAAGAAAATGCGGCACACTTGGAAAAATGTGCCACACTTAAGAAAATGCGGCACATTAAAAAAAATGCGCCACACTTGGATAAATGCACCTCACTTGGAGAAATGGACGCGGTTGGGTAAATGCGCCACACTTAAAACTATGCGGCACGCTTGGAGAAAT